CTTATTACTTCCCATTAAACTAAGCTCGAACAAGCTGCACCTGTAGGCACCTGTCCTGTGCTTGCCCAGAGACGATGCTCCAATGAGGCCAGCTCCTCTTTCTTCCTGCCATGCCCCATCCTGGCTGTGGTTGTGTCCTCCCACCTGGAAGCTGGGAGCCTGGGGCTTCTTTCCAGAGTGGTTTGCCAATGGCTGGTGTCCTCTTAGGTGTTAGCTGTGACCATCAGCAGAAATGGCCAGTGGCCCTGTGCAGGGCAGACACAGAGACTCATGTGTGTGGTGGGCATGTCCATATTCAGTGTGCTGGGCCTGGCACTCAGCACCAGGAACAGGGAACCAGGTGTCTAATAAAAGGGAGGACATTACATTACCTTGCACTGGAAACTTTCAGGGGGAAGCTTAGGAGTGCAGCCCGCACCCTGTTCCTGATTCCCGCCCAGACTCTCTGTTCTTCCCTTCTCTTTCCTAACGCACCTGCCCTGTCTGTCAGGTTAGTCAATCAGGTGGGAAGTGGCGCGGACGGCATGCCATCGGTTGACCCCACACATGCCCACATGTGCTTGCACATGCACACACACACAGAGTGGTTGTGGCCACAGTGATGCCAGAGGAGGTACAAGCAGAGCCCGGGGGAAGGAAGGCTGCAGGAAGCTCCATGCTCGGGCTGGTCTCCAGCTCTTGCTGCCTCGCCGTCCTCTTGGCCTGTCTGGCAGCCCCGTGCTGTCCAGTCGAGGTGCAGTTGTCTGACTGTCAGTCGCCCCTGGTTGGGTGTTTTGGTCTTGACAGGGTCTGGGATCTGGATGAGAGGGTCGGGAGGGCCCTGACCAGTCCTTGCTGCTGTGGTTCACACCCTCATCATCATCCTCCCCTCCGCGCGGGTCTCGTCCCACCCGCACCTGCGGCCGATCCGCCCCCACGCCCTTGTGCTGTGACTTGCACAGTCCCTCCTTCTCCCTCCCCTTCCTTTCTCCCACCCCATCTCTGTGTATCTTGTACAGAAGCTAACATTTATTGAACATGTGCGTAGAGTAGACCCTTAATATAAACTTAATCTTCGCAGCCATCCGAGGTGGGTCCTGAGATTGCATGCGTGTCACACTTGGGAACGCTGATCAGGGAGATGAAGTGACTTTCCCACGGCCCCACCGAAGTGGTTGCACTGTCCTAACACCTATCTGGGTCTGAGCTCTCTCTGCCACCCTGGGTCACTTGTGCCTCCCTCTGCAGGAGACGCTGGGCAGAGTGGCTGCGTCTGGGCTCCCAGCCCTGCTCCTACAGTGCCTCTACCTCTTCTTTGTCTTTCCCCTGGAAAAGGGTGAGCTTCCTGAGAGTGATGTTCAAGTTCAGAGGATGTTTGTACAGGTGAGTGAGCAGACGGGCTTGGTCTCTCTTTGGCCGAGACCTGGCTTCAGGGAGCAGACTCTTGCTTGGTTGCTTCTAGCAGATGCTTTCGTCCCTCTCAGCCCTGCTTCCCAAGCCCCGCTGCTCTCCCGGAGGGCCCAGCATGTCCCTGCCCACGCTTTGTAACACCCGAATGGTTGGGACACGGGTTTTCTCCCTTTTTCTCCACCACATTGTGTCCCTGTGTCAATATCCCCCTCCCGGTCCTCCCCCAGGAAGCAGTTCTCCTCCTCGTCCTCATGGCCTCTGTGTCCCCACCTCTCCTCCAGCCTGCATTTTCAGGTCCTGCCCACCCTCCCTGGCACCTGCAGCCTCCTCCCTTTGGCCCCGTCCCCTCTGATAACAAGCCTGCTCTGCCCCACATATGAGACAGTAGCTAACATTTTTTAAGTACTTGCTTTGTACCCACCCTGTGCCCCACCCTCCCTGGCACCTGCAGCCTCCTCCCTTTGGCCCCGTCCCCTCTGATAACAAGCCTGCTCCGCCCCACATATGAGACAGTAGCTAACATTTTTTAAGTACTTGCTTTGTACCCACCCTGTGCCATGGGCCTCACCTGGGTCACCTCTACAGGACTCTTTGCGACCCTAGGATATGTGTTGTGTTGCCAGCCTGAGTCTATACAGACTAAGGTGTGGTGAGCAAGCCCAGAGTCCAGGGTTACAGAGGTCGTGGGTAGGTGGGGTTGGAGCCCTGGGGACCTGGCTGGAGGTCACTCACAGTCACACTGTTAAGTCTTTTGAGATGTCACCTCCTTCCCGCAGAAGACTCTCAGGCCACTAAGCAATCAGTGCCATTTCCCCGTGTCGTTCCCCATCTTTCTATCCCGCCTGACCACGTATCTTCTTGCCTCCTTGCCCTGCCCTCTTCTCTAAAGTTTCTGCTTCCTCAGCTGCTGTGATGCTGTGTTCTCCAGAAAGCTCTTTCTTCTCCAGCCTTGCAGGGGGAGGGTACAGAGGACTGTGTGTCTCATTCAGCTTTGTGTGTCCCATGCCTCAGGAAGTGTCTCCCATATAGCAGGTGCTTATGGCCATTTGGTGAATTTCCAAGTGCAACGAGCCTTTGTACATGTCTATTCACATAAACATCCATTTTAGGCTAGTCGGTAAGCCACATCATCGTTACCAGAGAATATAGTACTAGTTCTGGCAGATTCCATTTATGGGGAGTTATCTCCTCAGCTGCATTTGTTGAAATGTAGGCGTCATTTGCCCATAAGTGGTGGCCAGGATGCTGCACTGGAACTTTAACAAATCTCTACCGTGTGGTTCTTATGTGCCCTGCAGGGAGATAGTGCAGCTCTCATCCTCAAGGTCCTTTGGACATAAGGACAGAATGCGAGCCACAGGTGACAGACTACCTCTGCATTCCTTGAGGGTTCTTGTTACTTCATTCCTCAAAACCATACAGAACTCCTACTGTGTGCAGCTCTATGCCAGCCCTGCAGTTGCTGCAGCGAGCATGGAAGCCTCACTCTGATAGGTGGGGAAGCCAAACGGGGAAAACCATTCACGAGTAAATGCATAGTTAGCAATTTTTTAAAGTGCTTTAAAGGGAA